AGTTTCCATTGGAAACAGCCTCTCTATCATAAGTTCTACACACTGCCTTCCAAGACTCCACTAGTGGAATCGACTCCGCTAGTGGAATCGACTCCACTAGTGGGATTTCGGTGGGTTGTTATTGTTGTAGCTTTTATTGCCCTTCCATTTACATTTTACATATGCTGCTTTTATGTTTTTGTTCATAATATATGGTTATGGATGGAAATGAGCTTTTATTTATTGCTTGTGATTGTTTCTTTTCATCAGGCAGCATGTATTTTGAGATTGGTTCTTTGGACAGTGTTCTTTGGGACCTTGGTTCTTTGTAAATTTATGAGAAACTGCTGGTAATTGACCGGTTCTGTGAATGAGTCTAAATTTGACTACATCAACAGTTGATATGATTGGTTTAGTTTGGTTTAGGTAGAGAGTATCTAGGGGTGCAAGACAACTCTCTAGATGGTTTAGTTTGGTTTAGGTAGAGAGTATCTAGGGGTGCAAGACAACTCTCTAGATGGTTTAGTTTGGTTTAGGTAGAGAGTATCTAGGGGTGCGAGACAACTCTCTAAAGAACTCAACAAAATAGCCCTGTAACTTTGGGAGAAGGGGTGCCTCTTCACCCCGGGGTTGCGGTGACCAGGCCCGGGCAACTCTTTACCTTAAAGACAGGTCTTTGCAAAGTCGTAAGACCATGTATGTGGGCGTCTAATTAAGTGTAATGTGGAATGGTGGTTGTGATTTGCGAACACCCTGTTGCTTTGAAGATTTGTATGCTAGACTGGCAAATTATTTTGTTTTAGTATGGAATGGACTTTGATAAGCGAGTTTGATAATTAAAGATCTCCAGTGATATTGCAATAATAATGCAATAAAACAAGTAACATTTCCTTGTCTGAGAGAATCAACATTCCTCAATGTTTGCTTTCACGTAGAGCAAGTTAAAGAGGAGAAATTCTTTCCATTAGTCGGTTATTTCTTCTTGATTCTACTCTTTCTATTCCTGTCAGCTTGCTTTTTCATCTGGATCTTTTGTCAAGTTCTATAAGGTATGTATCTTTTGTCTTCATCAATCATCTGTATCAACTTAGAAGAAAAAAAGAAAAAGAAAAAACCAGTTACATTGGCTTCATAGAGCCCCACCTAAACCAGGAAACGTATATGCATTTTTGTTTCATAATGCATAATATGATAATAACATTCGACAAATCAAATCATTTATAATCCTGATGGCTGACAAATAAGAACCATGGAACTTGAAAAAAGAAGCTTCTAACAGCTCTCTTCCCCTACTAACATGAAGGGAAAGATAAAGTACTACAAGTCTTGCACAGATGAAATGTTATCTCTGAATCTATGCTAATCAGAGAGTAAACTGTAAAAGCACAACTACAACAATGAACGATATGTTCTGTCGATTAGACAAGGTTAGTGTTTTGCCTATACAGCAAGGCTAATCTTATACACACTCCACTTTACACTGTATTCTTTTCTCATCATCTTCAAACTCACCACCTAAGTTCTGCGTCACTGTTTTCACTAGCAGTGTTAGAGCTGGATGTGGCCTTCCCAGCCGAGTGACTGAGATTTTCTGTTTGCTAGCATTAGCATACTCACTATGTTCTTGGATGGTTTCGCAAGGCAAGATGACTAACTAATAACCTGATAGTATTAGTTTGAGCAAATTGATCTTGACATTTAGGATGATGTGAAGCCAGTTCTGATATAGCCCAAGCCACCATAATTTGAACCTTCATGCTCCCTTCTTTGAGGATTTTCTCAAACACTGAACAAAACACCAGCTTTTACGATGTGTTCGGCGCTTTCTGGATCACGTTAAAAGAAGGCCAATTGCCCTTGAGGCATTTTCTTGACCCTCCATTGTTCCTTCTTTACCAACTTCAATAATGGTCCAACCCCGGCCACTTTCCTCTATGATCAACTTCCCATATCGTTCATTGTCCCGAGCCAACGATACAAGAGATAAAGCAGCTGTACCCGAACGTTCCTTTAAAGACCCTGAGCACAACATACTAATCTGTTTCCATATAAGACACAAAAATGGCTCGTTTGAGGCTATAGGAGGAATCCTAAGATATTCATCAGGCTGTGCTTGTATTCAATGTAAACCATTGGGTAAAATCTCCTACTAATATTCAATGTTCCTTTTTCTTTTTTTCCTGGATTCATAATGGAAGCTTTTGGTTGGTTGTTCAACAAAGTCATTCACTTCCAACGTGTCAAATATTCAATCATTGCATTAGGGTAAGTTGTCTACCTCATACCGCTTAGGGTGAGGTTGTTCTCCGGACCCTACGTGAATGCGAGATTTTTCGTGCATTGGGCTGACCCTTTTTACCTTACAGTTTTTTAATATTTGTTGCACAAAACAAGTTTCTGTTTGATGAAAAAAAATGGAGGATGTATTATAAAAAAGAGACTACTTTTTTGAGAAACTGAACTGTTTTAACCAGAGGGACAAAAGAACATCGTAAATTTCTATATTGGGAATGACAGCTAAGAGTGTATTTCTTCTCATATATCATGTTCTCGCATATACTCAATTCCTCAAAACAATCTTACAACAGAAAACGAATTACAATAACAATTGAGTCTCGATTTCAAACAAGTTGGACCACACAAGACCTATATACAGACTAGAAAATAATCCATCTTCGGCAAGTAGGGGTGCACTCCTACTTGCTACTCAAACTATATACATAAAAATAAAATTTCTGAAACACATACATATATACTATTTAGACCTATAAACATTCGTTCAGATTCAGAACTTCCCTTCAATCCTTGCATTTGTAAGACCAATGCATGCATCCACAAAATCTTCATCTATAAAGTCTGATGAAAATATCTGCAACCGATCACCATAACCTCGAGCAATACATTCCATAACAAACAGCCTCGCATACGGATGAATCCGATCTGTCACAGGTTTCACACACAGGACTGGATTATCAGCCTGTGGTGTGACCGTATTCTCCACTCTGTAAAAGAATTTCCGGGATGTTACAGGTGGCTGCTCACTCAAATGCTTCATGTTACTCTCGAACTTCGTTTCAGGTAAGTCAGTATCTATCCAGTTATCTTTTAGGTAACATGAACTCCATAACGGACTTCCATGTTTTGGCTGAGGTGATTTTCTTGGTTTCCAAACACACATTATCCTCTTTGGCAATAACTCTGCAATAGCCTTGTTGAAAACATTGTCATCTTGGTGGATGAGAAATTCTCCTAGCTGATCCTCTAGGTACTTGTCGAAATCCGGGGGATCATCATGGCCGAATTCAGTACGAATTTCTAGGATTATTATCTCTGAATGTGTTTCAGACAGAAATTTTTTGACGTCGTTGATAACGACGTCAACATTGTAGGAAAGAAGGATGCCATGGCATATACGACGATCTTCTTGAACACGGATATCAAGGACGCGAGCGCCAATTACTAGTTGTTCATAAATGGACAGAGATTGGCATTGAGCAAAAGGGCGAGAAATGAATGGGATGCCTATATTGTTAGTTGCTGAATCATGTGTACGTGCAGAGGCGGATGGAATTCTTAATTAATTGGTTTAATTGAATTCAGTATTTTCGACACATAGCAGACATATATATGTAGAAGGGGCAGCCCGATGCACGAAGCATCCCAATTCACGCAGGATCGGAGAAGGGCCACACCCAAGGGATAATGCAGGTAGTCTACCCTGATGCATGCATCAGTGGCTGATTCCATGGCTCGAACCCATGACCTATAAGTCACACGGAGACATGCGTAAAAAATCATCAAAATTTCAATAAATATTTTCAAAAGTGCAACGAATTCATACTAAGAACCTCAAGGTTAAACTAATTAAATTTAAATTCTGAATTCGCCTTTAGGTATCTGGCCAAACAATCTTGTTGACATGGAGTTTCTCAGGGATAAGTGCTGACATCCAATTTTTTCTGTCTTGTACATGATAATCACAACCAGGAAAGTTGCATCCATTTTTCTCCTTGAGATCATACAAGATTTTCTTCTGAGTATGAATAGATTTTCGTCTTTCCACCTGTTTACTCACCTCAGCACCCATTTTCAGAATAAACCAAGAAGAAGAAGAAACGATTAAGCACTCAAAAAGATCTGTTGATATATGCATTTTTAATGCTTTTCTTGTTTTCACTCTGCTGTAAATACTTTCTTCAATTAATTATGACAAAGAAAGGGAATCTTGGAGTAACGGTCAAATTGCCTCCGTGTAACTTATAGGTTCGAGTTGTGAAATCAGTCATTGATGCTTGCATCAGGACAGACTGTCCACATCACATTCCTTAAAGTGCGGCCCTTTTCCGGACCTTGCGTGAACGCGAGATACTTTATGCACCGAACTCTCTTTTAATTAATTATGACAAAGAGGGACAAACTTCCTTTTAGATATTTTATTCGTTTCAACATACTATCTGGACATGGTTTATTGGGGTAGGTAGCCTTGTAGGTAGGGGTGGTAAGTGGGCCGGGCTCGGTCCTAAGTGGGCTTCGCGGGCCCGGTCTTAAGTGGGCCGGTCCTATGCGGTCCGATCCTAAACGGTCCCGGGCTTCGCGGGCTTATTGTTGGAACCGGCTCGGGACCGGGACCACGAACTAACGGTCCCGGGTTAAGTGGGCCGGTCCCGGGCCTAAACGGGCCCAACAGTAACTTTGTATTTTTAATTTTTTTTTATAGAAGTTAGAGAAAAAAAATAGTAATGAAGATATATAAGCTATATTCGATTTATATACTATATATACATCTTAAAATATATATATACTAT